TTTATGAGTTTCTTGATGATTTTATCATTTGTTATTTGGACGATATTTTAATCTATTCTAAGAATATAGAAGATCATGAAGTTCATGTTTGTCATGTATTACAAAAACTATAAGATACAAGATTATATGTAAAGATAGAAAAGTATGTATTCTACATTATTCAAGTTGACTTTTTTGGAAACATCATTTCCAATGAAGGCCTTATGATGGATCCAAAGAATGTCCAAATTATCATAGATTAGAAGATACCAAGAATAGTAAGAGATGTGCAATATTTTTTGGACTTTGTCAATTATTACTAAATCTTTATTAAATTTTTTTGTCAAGTTGCAACTCCACTTATATGTTTGACTTGTAAAGACAAACTTAAGTAGAAGAAAGAAGTTAAAGCATCATTTGGTGCTTTGAAGAAAGAATTTGTTTCTGCACTAATTTTGTAACGTGTCAACATTTTTAAGGCATTCTTTATAGAAACAAATGCATCAGATTTTACATTGGATATAGTATTGTCACAAATAAAAAAAATGATAAAGTCCATCCAATAGCTTTCTATTCTAAGAAATTTTCAATAGCCAAGATTAAGTATGAGATCTATAATAAAGAACTTTTTGCAATTGTGGATTCATTTTAAGAATGATATCATTATCTAGAAGGCGCTTTAAGTTCAATTATAATATATACAAATCACAAGAACTTCGAGTATTTCATGTCAACATGTATTTTGAATTGTCGCCAAGTTCTTTGGAGCATGTCATTATTAAGATTTGATTTCAAGATCATATATCGACTTACAAAAAAGAAGATTTATCAAATGTTCTTTCTAGACACTTTTATATTGTACCAAAAGAAAGAGACATATCTTTTGATAAACAAAGAATAATCTTCTTGAAGTCAGAGCATTTTCATCTTTAAGCAATGAAATCAACACTGAATGCTACTATGAAGCATGTTTACGTATTCTTGAAGCATATCATAATATTCTAATACTAAGATATTTTGGATATAACAAGACTTTACAATTTATATCTAGAGATTTTTTGTGGCCGCAAATGTAGAAAGTGGTAAAAGACTTTGTCCAGTCATATGACATTTTTTCAAAATCAAAAACTCCTTGTCATCGACTCTATGGACTTCTCTAGCTATTACATATATCTAAACAACTATGGACTTCGATTTCTATGGATTTTATAACAAATCTTGTAAGTTCAAGTTCATATAACTTTATATTTGTAATTATATATTGCTTCATCAAAATGGCATATTTTGTACTATGTACAAAATCTATTTCAAGTAAAGAAACAACTAAGCTTTTCATTGACAGTATCTATCGCTATCATAGCTTGCCAAAAGATATTATATTAAATAAGGGGACTCAATTTGTATCAAGATTTTGAAAAATACTATTCAAGATTCTTAAGGTGGATATCAAGCTCTCTTTGACTTTTCATCCTCAAATTGATGGACAAACAAAATGGAAAAATCAAATTCTAAAGTAGTATTTGAGGTGTACTATCAATTATCATGAAGATGATTGGACAACTCTTTTGCCATTGGTAAAGTTTGCATACAATAATTTGGTACATTTTTTTATTGAATAAACATCTTTTTTTACCAATTATGATTATCATCCATGACTTGATACTTTTGACTTTTTAAAAGTTGATAATTCTATAGTAGAAGATTTAATAAATCATTTATCAAAGTTATATGCAACAATGAAGACACAATTAAAGGAAGCTCAAGAATGACAAAAAATCGACATGGATGCCGATCACAAAGAGTAATTATAATTCAATGTGGATGACAAGGTATAATTATTTCATCACAATATGAAGACTACTCGTCCTTGTAATAAGTTAAACTATTGTAGGTTGGGACTCTTTCCTATTTATAAATAAATCAATCCTGTTGCTTATCTATTATATCTATCGAAGTCTATAAAGATCCACCTTATATTTCACATGTTTCTTCTTAAGCCATATAAGACAATGAATGTTTTGGAAAGAAAACAAATGCCACTTCCTCCTATAAAAATAGATAATGATCAAAAATTTGAGGTCGAAGAAATCTTGGATTCAAAGTGGCGCCAAAATAGATTAGAATATCTTGTTCATTGGTGTGGATATGATATTAGTGAATGTAGAAGCCAAAAAAAAAATCTTGAAAATACAACTAAGAAAGTTGAGGCTTTTTATTGACAACATCTATCAAAATTAAGATGAAGAATTATAAGATCTATGAAAGATGATGATTGTTTTTTATAAAACTTATTCTTGGAAATGGAGGTAATATCATATATATATATAATTACTCTAATAGTTACTTATATGATTAGATAGAAGGAGGTAAATCTAGATTAATTTCATAAAGTCTTATAGAATAGCTTTTTAAAAGCTTCGTAGGTGTGGTTTTGACTTTAGATGTGTTTATAGATTAGAAACTTAGTCAAAAAATTAATCATATATTGGTAGCTTATAGAACAAGTTAATTCCATATAATAGCTTATAAAATAAGCTAACTATGTGGCGCATACATAAATAACTTGTCTTGCAAGTTAAGACATGTGGCTAACAAAGTCAACAAATATTAGAGGTCCTACAGAATATTGTCATGTAGCTTCTAGTTAGAGAATATATATGGAAGCAAGAATAAAGCCTTCTTCATTCTTCTCAATGCCTTTGTAGTCGTTAATCTTATTCTAAGACTTTCTAGTCTTCTTGTTTTTGGCAATAGCTATTTTAGTTTAATATTATATCATTTTTGAGTGACTTTTTAGTTTCTATTAGTGATATAAGAGTGTATTAAGGATTTTCTTTCCTCGAGATTCATGTCCTTGACAATCTAATAGTAACCAAAAAAATTATTTGTTACATCAAACATAAATCAGATTACATATTTGATTATATATCAATATCTAATTTAATATTTTTTGATTTATTGATACAAACTTTTTTAGAAATATGACCAATGAACACTCTACAATGGTCTTTATTTTTACTCTTGGTTCTAGCTCCATCATATGGCACTCTAAGAAACAAGCTATCATAGCTATGAGATCCTTGAAAGCTAAATATATAGGATTATCTACTACCTCCAAAGAAGCCCCTTGGCTAGCCAAACTCACTCAAGATTTTGATCTTTTGATCTTACAATGTATTCCAATTTATTGCAACAATGAAGGTAGTATTTGCATAGTAGTAAATCCCAACATCAATTCCAAGATAAAATCCATTAGTATACATCATCACTTTATACAAGAAAAGATAGAAAGTGGAGATATCATACTAAAGTATGTTTTTTCTTTAGAATAGGTTGCTAATATTTTTATAGAGTCTCTAGGTAAAGTTCTCTTTAAAAAGTACAAAGCAATTTCAAACCTTATGTTCTACACTTCAAGCGTCATAGTTTAAATTGTTCCATCTATCATCTTTATCATCTTAAAAAATAACTAGAATCCTCATTTTTTGCCAAATGACTTATGTCTATTTGTTGTTGCAATAAAAAAGCTTCAATTAACTTATTCTACTTATAAGTAACTATGAAGGTACTACATAAAAACATCTCTTTCTCATTCCCCTCTTTAGCTACTTTATCATTATTTTTTTTAGCCAACCATCCTTTCTAATTATCACACATTGCTTATAATAGGTGTAGTTATTTTAAAACATCATCATCACTAATTTTAGGCTTCTCATTAAATTAAGAATTATCAATCTTATTATTACCATTTGTAGTACTATAAATAAATTTAGGCTACTATTCTTAACTACTCAATTGTGTTCAATAAAATCAACATTTCTATCACAAATACTTTCACTTTCTTTTCAATTTCTTCTTTAACTTTTTAAATTTTTTTATTTTTTTTATTTTGCTTTGCAATTAATCATATATATACTATTGCTCAATCTGAGATCACAATATTGATTAGCTTTGGAGTATTTGAAAAATGATTCCTTTCAAAACAAACAAACCACCTTGTCACTCATAAAACCTTCTGAATTGCATGGACTATTTGTATTTGATGCCTCTCTATATTCAAATACAAATTGTGCAACTATATCACTACAACAAGAATAATCTATCAACTCTAAGATATTTTCATCAATGCTCAAGAAATCCATGCCTTGATCATGGTAAAAAATACAAGAAATTGAACAAGATTGTCAAGAAGTAACATCATAAGAATTAAGATCTTTGACCTCTTCCTCATAATTTTCAAACAATCTATCTTGACAAATAAGACTCTTCACCTCACAAACCTTCTGCTCTTCAACAAAAAAAGGTCATATTTATTAACCAAAAGAAGAATATCTAACAAAAAAAATCACAACCAAAGAATTTGACATAGTGTGGAAAGAAACTGCTTAGCACAAAGGAAATTATTACAATACAAATCTTAAGCAACTCCATCTACATGAGGAATTTCTCACAACACTTGTGTCTTTTCAAAACCTATTATATGAGCAAAACTTAATCTTTTATATGTTTCATATCCTAGCATACTAACTCATTATCTATTCTTCCCTTCAAAGTAACAACTTGTGGCAAAACAAGATAGCATATTCATAGAAGGTTTTGCCACCTATCAACTCATCAAGCCATTTACTACTAAAATAACTAAACATAACACAATGTGAAGATGCCACTTGCTTTTTTTTTTCTTTTTTTTCTTTTTTTTTCCAACAACCCATTCTCCATTAAAGTGACTAAAAGTAGCACAACTAAGTGCTTAGAGCACTCATCATCATAAAGTAGATCCTGTCACTTGAAATACCTTAGTGCCATTCACCATCGACATGAGGCTCGCAGCAAGAGGGGGCGTTGGGGCAATGACCAACTAAAGTAGCTTTCTGTCAGCTCACACCAGTGTATCTATACTCTGTGTATCCACAGTGATGATATGTTATGCAAGTATCATTTTATGCTTGAATCCATTGATTCCTCTTGTTATTCCTCACTATTTCCATAGCAAGGTGAAAATCTCAGACACAAGCTAACCATGTGATGAAATGAAGCCATAATATTGTTTGCGAACCGTGTTACATCCCACATCCCTCCCTCAGAATAACTTGTACACTACGCTGGTGATGCACACTACACTGAAAAGCCCTCGTTCCGCAGCCTGTTGGAAGTAGGAACCTCACAGGTATTCGTCACCTAAGCGCGCGGGGAACCCATAAGCCAGACCGGACAAAATTGTGAGGCACTTCAGTTTTCTAGCAAGCGTTTACCCACATACCTCGCATGGTTGATCTGCTTCGATATCTACCACCTTCGCCTCTCAAAAAAGCAGCCAGAGCCTTTACACTGTGGGGCTGCTCTAATATATTCCCATACAAGTACGTCCGAACCTCAAGAAACTTGGCAAATAAGCCGGTCCAGGAGCTAGCTAGTTCAGACTGCTGCCATCGGAACCCTTCAAGTAAGAAGCTTCAGAGTCGTCGTTGCCCTGGCCGTGGCCGCCACCGCCATCTCCCCGGTGGCCGAGAGGTGAGGAGCAGCCCAAGTCAGTGCCGTTTCCACCATGCATGTCGCCCTGCATCGTCATACCCAATTGGTTCTGATCTCGCCCTCCGTCAGAATATCCAGGTGAGGCTTGTGACCCATTGCCTCCCATGCCGCGATCAGTGGACATCATGTGGATGGAGCTGCCACCGCCGGTAAGCAGGCTCTGTTGGCTGTAGAAGTTCTGCTGGGAAACTTGTTGGCTTTGCTGCAGGTAGGAGGGGATCATGGCATTTTGTTGGCTCATCATGCGGAGCTGTTGCTGCTGTTGCATGTATTGTTGAGCTGGTTGCATAGTTGGCGCGGGCGCTGGCATCTGTGGCGACTCTTCCATTAAACTTACGAACTCAAACCAGGTGGGTTTAGAAAGGAAAAAAAAAAAAACAAACAAACAAAACAAAACAAAACAAAACAAACAAACAAACAAAAAAATTTGATTGGAAATCTTTAATCGTCTAAGTCGTACCTTGTGTAGAAAAAAACTAGTTCCATACCTGCGTAGATGGGCCTTGTGGCTGGGCATCAGCTATAGCGGCCAGATACATGAGGTTCTGCTGCAGCTTCGCTTGATACCTGCTATGGCATTGAAGTGTAATGTAATTAGCAGAGTGCGTGCAGAATATATGCGCACTCACTCACTCACACTCACACACACACACAGGTCCAGTTTTCTAGAGTCGACCGGAAACTTCATAGTCCATTACGTTGCAGTGAACCAAAGCGGAGAAGAGAATGACTCGTCACTTACGTCGCACACTCATTGAGCTTGCCGAGGTTTTGGTTGTCGAGAATGGCGAGAATCAGCTGTTTATTCTCGTCCAAGTACTGTGTACCATAACCCAGAAATCCCCTATGTCAGACAACGCAGCAGCCATTGAGCCACAGAAGCAATACGATCAAGGATGAATCAACTTTACCAGTGGACATTCTCTCCTACTTGCATGCTATCCTCGTTTGAGAACATATATATTTGTTTCTTTAAACGCTGCGGACACTTAAGCGTAGACGCTCTAAGGTAAAGTCAGAGCCCTTTCAGGAATCGGCGGGGCCTTCACAGATGCGAAAAGCACACACACCCAAAAAAACAACAAAGACTTTGCCATTGAAGTAATGTCTGTATAGCCTGACAAAGTTCGGTGTGCGATTTCCAAGGAGGATTCTCTGCAAGTGTATGTAGAGGGCCCACACGTAGAGGCGGTCGTAGGCACGCTTGTGCTCTCTGTGTTCTGCCCTATCAAAAGGGTTAGAACTGTTGGGCAATCTAACTACGTTAATTCAGGTCCATATTGCAGTGATTGGATTGATTTGAGACGTGAGTTCCGTTGTGATGTTTATGGCTTGAAGCCTGCACTTTGCTGGACAGGCAGTGGTTGGGGACACAACTACGCTGTATAGCACTACAGGGCCCACACACAGAGGCCCACAAATCTACGTGAGTTTGCCAACTTTAAGGCGACGTTGTTTTCATACATAATCTCCCTAGTAAGCTGTTGCCAATGGGCATAAATGATACCCATGCCAGTGCACGACAGGATCTTTCATGGTGGACATGGGCCCGAGGAACAGTCGGTTTTAGGATTGTCCGCCATAGCCTGAGGAGAAGCTCCAGGACTCTTACAATCCTTAAAGACTACTGATTAATAACAGTATCTCTGCTAAGACAAGCACCACGACATGTAAATGTGTAGATATAAAACTCCCAGCATTACGCGTGCTAGACGTAATTTTGAGTGTATTCCTTTGGGTCTTTGTGGGTGTGTAAGTTGAAGGGACGTAGAGACGCCAAACAATGATTCTTGTGAAAGACGACTAAACATATTGAAGGTGAAATAAAGTAGAAGAGTTCTTGAAACCTTAGCATCACGATGACACATACCTTCTGAATGAGCTCCGTGGTGATGTTGGAGCTGGCATAGGTCGTCATGTGCTGCATCATGGATTACTGCCTCGTCTGCCCTGCATTCACGACACAGTGATCATCATTTTAATTGCCGTCTTATCCATGCATGAATCAACATGTAGATGGGATTGTGTCACGGCGTGTATAGCGTGACATGTGCAGTAACTCCAGTGACTTGAGTTACTGAATATTTAAGAGGATGGATCATTGTTACGAAGTAGAAGCCTGGAGGATGAAGAAGACTACGGGGCGTTGAAGGATCACATTGACATAACAAAAAATCCCAGATTCTAAGATGGGTATCGTGAACTTCCAACTAAATCTATTGACTTTTGCTTAATTCCGGTTGATGAGGCTCTCAAACGCAACTAGCAAGAACACTTGTAGCTCAAAACCTGATGAGCATCAATTTACAAAAACTCTGCAATATTCAACATACTGCCAAACTCCTCTCTTTAGTTTCGTTCTGATGTATAAAGGGTTGATTCTCAACAACAACACTTCATCCAGAGTCTGCCTGCTTCACCAGATTCGAGACTATTTAACATTGTTTTTGCCTGTAGATACCTAGTGCTGGAAACGTTTATGGCACATTTGCAAATCTTCGTCAACCAAACTAGACTCAGCCAATTACTCCACAGACGGGAGAGTCACAAAGACAATCCCTGGGAGTTTCCATGTAAGTAATACTCTTCCCAGGAGTGCAACCACGTCGAAAAACTACAAATAGGAGAAAGTAATGCACAGTGTAACTACTTTCGAGATGCAACGTGAAGCAGCTAGTGCTATTGCCGGGCATTACACAAGAGAGTGATTTGTGAATCAGCCGCGATGCTGATCTTTAGAGATCTGTGAAGCGTTGCAGGAATCAAAGTGACACACACCCACACTCACACAAACGTATATATAAATATATATACTAACACTCCGGTCATTTTCTCCTCGAAGACAAGATCTATTGCCGGAATTGTACACCTCCATTACATCCAGTACCTCAAAGGGGAGAATGTAGCTAGCTGCGAGCTGGCTGCACTTGCTCAATTATTAAGCCTAGGCTAGCGTAGCAGAGAAGAGTCAGTCCAGCAGATACTGGTCGAAAGATTCGCCATGAAGAAGTCTGACTGAGTGCACCTGAGGGAATGCGTCACACGTGCACACACGCGTGAGAGACTACCTACTCGCTACGATTTTTTGACACAGCGTAACGCAGCGACAGTTGGTGACGCCTTAGCCTCTGCGGTCTACTATAGAAGGACCAATAACAAACTTCATCGTCAAACAAAGAAAATGTCAACTATCTCACTCCGTTTGTGGGATACTCAGCTGTTAAGCTGATTTCAATCGAGGTTAGAAGGGGAAGTTAATCCGAAGAAGGGCACCCAGATAACCCTGATCGAGTATAACCCGAATGACAGACGACGACGACGACGTCAACGGGAAACCGCCAACCGGCTTCAATTTGGATTGAGCTGGAAAAACAACATAAAACCGCTTCTTCACCACAGCAAACTGATCACCTCACTTGTTTCTACTAAGCAAAGTCTCTCACACTTCAGGAAGCTCATGTTCCCGAATAGGACTAAGATTGCTTACAAGTGGCAAAAAAAAATACATTAAGCTTGTGAACATTCAAGCAGGATTACGCTGGTCTCACTAGAGTTAGGAACTATGAGACCCCCACAAGTAGCTGACAAGGTATCTCCCTCGCCAACAGGCGCTAGCTCATTTTAAGAATCATGTGTACAATGTGAGGATGTGGAGTCTATTGCTGGACACCTCGAAGGAAGGAGTGGAGAGTCAGCGGTTAGCACTATCTTAGGCGCTTTCTGTGGCTATTGCGAGAGCTTATCACTAGCGTTCAGATTCACAAGGATGGTCGGGTTCCGAGAGTGGTACTGATTTTATCCCACACGACGTGAAAGATTCCATGAACTGGGTATTTAATCGATGCGAGGAAATCTAGAAGGCACCCATTCCACAGCAAAGGACGGCCAATCGACGAGAAATAACCTGCGCATTGCTCAGACCGACATTGAACTTAGAGCTTTACGAGATTCGGAAGGGGGAGGGGACTCGGCGGGCATGCAAGTGTAGGAAGTTCAAAAGGAGCGACATAAAGTGCGTCCATGCTGGCAATAGTCTTAAAAGTAGTGCGGTTTGAAAGATCGGAAGTTTCGGCGGAGACGCGCAAACTTGTGTCCATGGACACTGATGAACAGCTCCCTTTTTAGAAGGCTTGGATTAACAGGACCCTGGGATGAAGACACACAAACTGGTCAAGCGAGCTAAATGAAAGTGAGCAGCTGAAAGCGTCACTCGCAGCCTTTACTTGGCACATCAGTAATTGGGTTCTCTTGCAAAGCGGCTCCCGCGGTCATCTACTGGCAATTATAGTACAGGGTAGGCACAAATTGGAAGCGAACATTGAATAGTGAGAAGTCACGGAGGTCAAAAATCTTTTTATGCTTCCAGCTCGTTCTAATCTTGGTTTCAAACATTGCTTCCGTGTAATATCGTCAGTGTTTCGTTTTCGCAACCGGTATGCCTGCGAGGAAGCCGATTTTTATGGGGGGGGGGGGGGGGGGGGGGGGGGGAGACCCTG